AAAAAAAAAGAGCTGGCAGACCTGGAGTGGCTCTGCCGTCAGGATGGGGAGGCACAAGGTGCAATTGAAGGGACCACGCGGACTTCCCGTGGGTGCCAGGAGGGACCAGATGCCCCTCCCCCAACAGTAGTATTTCGCCTTTGTGGAGTGCTCACAACAGGACCCTTTATGTGAATGAATCTCATTTAAATCTCAGAACAACCTCGTGAGACACTATTCTTCCCATTTTACAGATGAGAGAATTGAGAAGTGAAGACACTCACTCAAGGAATCAGCACATAAGTGGCAGGGCAGGTATTTTCACTTGTTTTTAAAAATCCATGTTACTAAGGCATATTTGCATACAATAGATGCATGTTTTGAGTGTACAGTTCAATGAGTTTAACAATGTTGACATCCATGTATCTATCGCCGAAATCGCGATATTGAACATTTCCACCACCCCAAATGCTCCCTGTGTCTCTTCCCAGCCAATCCCCACAACCGTCCCATGCCCCACGCGATCAGTGATCTGTTTTCTGATACTATTAATTCTATTTGTCTTACCTAGAATTTCATAAAAACGGAATCATACAGTATGTACTCTTTTGTGTCTGGCTTCATATGTCATCTATTGTGAAGTTGCCAGTTTTTGCTGTTTTGTTCTGTTACTGAGTTTTTAGAGTCCTTCATACATCTGGACACCAGTCTCCAATTTGCAACACCTGTATTGCAAATAGTTTCTTTCAGTTTGTGGTTCACCTTTTCATCTAGCTAATGATGTCTTCCTAAGAATAGATTTGTATTTATTTCACACTTTTTAAAAATATATTTTTTTTATTGATTTCAGAGAGGAAGGAAGGAGAGAGAGAGATAGAAACATCAATGATGAAAAAGGATCATTGATTGTCTGTCTTTTGCATGCCCCAAACTCCGAGCATATGAGCATATGAGCATATGCCCTTGACCGGAATTGAACCCCCAACTCCGAGCATATGCAGCATATGCCCTTGACCAGAATTGAACCCGGGACTCTTCAGTCCGCAGGCCAGCGCTCTATCCACTGAGCCAAACCAGCTAGGGCTATTTCACACTTTATTTTCTTTTATGGCTCATGCTTATGTTCTATCAAAGAAATCTTTGCTTACCCTAAGGTCACAAAAAATTTTATCCTGCATTTTCTTCTAGAAGTTTTATTGTTATAGTTTAATAGTTTTAGTTTTACACTTAGTTTATAATGAATATTTAATTACTTTTTGTATAGGCTACGAAGAATCAAAGCTCATTTTTTCCCAAATGGATGTCTGGCTATCCCAGCTTTATTTGTTAAAAAGCCTATTATTTCTTCACTGAATTCTCTTCACTTTGTCACAAAACAATTGAATATGTATGTGTGGATCTATTTCTGGATTCTATTCTGTTCCATAGATCTATGTTTTGATATGTTTCTATTATGCTAATATTATACTGTGAGGCCTCTGATCTCATTCTTTTTCAAAATTGTATTGGCTATTCTGGGTCCTTGGAATTTCTCTATATATTTTAGCATCAGCTTGTCAACTTCTACCAATAAAGTCTACTGAGATTTTTAAAAAAATATCTTTTATTGATTTCAGAGAGGAAGGGCGAGGGAGAAAGAGAGAGAAACATGAATGATGAGAATCACTGATCAGTTGCCTCCTGCATGCCCCCTACTGGGGACTGAGCCCGCAACCCAGACATGTGTCCTGACCAGGAATCGAACCATGATGTCCTGGTTCATAGGTCGACACTCAACCACTAAGCCACGCAGGCCAGACTAATGAGATTTTGATTAAGATTCTTTTTTGAATCTATAAAATTGAATCTCATTCTTAAAATAAGAAAGACTGCTTAGAAACAGTACATATTTTTATTTATTGATTGATTTTTAGAGAGAGAAAAACAGTGATTTGTTGTTCCACTTATTCATGCATTCATTGGTTGATTCTTGTATGTGCTTTGACTGAGGATCAAAGCCACAACCTTGGTGTATCAGAACAATGCTCTAACAAACTGAGCTACCTGGCCAGGGCTAGAAACAGTAAGAAAAAAAAAACCACTGAGCAAATCCAGCTAGGGCTGGAGTTGATGTGTTTTTTTTTGTTGTTGTTTTTTAAAAATATATTTTATTGATTTTTTACAGAGAGGAAGGGAGAGGGATAGAAGAAACAGTAAGAAAAAAAAAAGGGGGGGGGGCAAAAAAAAGGGGAAAAGAAAGGAAAACTACATATTTAAATCAAATTTCTAGAATTTGTAATTATTAACTGTAGCCATGGAGTAACCAAACTTGATATAATCTGAATAATTATTAAAGTTCAGTCCTTAATTTAAAAAAATTAATGTGTTGGTGAGGATGTGGAGAAATTGGAACCCTTGTGCATTACTGGTAGAATGTAAAATGTGGAAAACAGTTTGGTGAGTCCTCAAAAAGTTAAACATAGCACTACCATATAACCAAGCTATTCCATTTCTAGGTATATAGCCAAAAGAATTGAAAACAGGGACTCAAACAGGGCTGGAGTTGATGTTTTTTAAAAGGAGACAGACATAAGCTCCATGGCGACAGTGACACACACACACACACACCCTGTCCCCTTCTAGCCTCTGTGGATCATTCCAGATTTCCAGATTCGACACCCTTTGGAAATGTGGTCCCAGATGAGGTAGTCACACAAAGAGCAGGGCCATGGGGCTGCCTGTGATGACCCCACAAGACATACCCTGGCTTGTTTCTGGGGCTCGGAGTGGTCACAGGTCCTGGGAATCCTAGAGCTTCACTCTGTCCAAATCCTGCCAGAAAAGGAAAAGAAAATCCCGTTTCCCGACTGTCATACACCAAACAAGCAGGAAGTAAGACACGTTCATTCTACTGGCCTCCTGCCCTCTCCCAAAGGCCAGACGCTCCTATTCCCACTCCCCACTCTCACCAACTAAGTCCTGCATCTGCTTCTGCCTTCCCTTAGCCAGGGCCTATGGGCACTTCTGCCTAAAGTCACATTCGGCCCTTCTCCAGCCCAAAACTTGCTGGTGTACTCTCACTGTGCCCCCAGACACACATATCTCAGTCCCTCCTCTATCTTCAGTCCAGGCATGACCCAAGACCAGGAGTCAGTGCTGTTTCCTTAGACTCCCTCCCTCAACTAGAAATAAGCATACACTGACTGAAATAAAGAATATTATACAGACTCCCAACAGCAGACTAGAGGATCGCAAGAATCAAGTCAAAGATTTGACTTGATGACCCCACAAGACATACCCTGGCTTGTCCCTGGGGCTCGGAGTGGTCACAGGTCCTGGGAATCCTAGAGCTTCACTCTGTCCAAATCCTGCCAGAAAAGGAAAAGAAAATCCCGTTTCCCGACTGTCATACACCAAACAAGCAGGAAGTAAGACACGTTCATTCTACTGGCCTCCTGCCCTCTCCCAAAGGCCAGACGCTCCTATTCCCACTCCCCACTCTCACCAACTAAGTCCTGCATCTGCTTCTGCCTTCCCTTAGCCAGGGCCTATGGGCACTTCTGCCTAAAGTCACATTCGGCCCTTCTCCAGCCCAAAGCTTGCTGGTGTACTCTCACTGTGTCCCCAGACACACATATCTCAGTCCCTCCTCTATCTTCAGTCCAGGCATGACCCAAGACCAGGAGTCAGTGCTGTTTCCTTAGACTCCCTCCCTTCCGCTGCACCTCCTCAACCTGACAGATCTTTGGAACGGGAGAACATTTTGAGATAGTATCACAGGTCACACACACACACACACACACACACACACACACACACACACTTCCTTATACCCTGAGACACTCCCTCTTTAGTCACTGACTCAGGACACAGTGGAACAAAAGAAGTCACTGGTTTCAGTGTCATAAACAATAGATTTGGAAGAATGAATGCTCGGATACTGAACTGATCAACTTACCACTCTCCACCAAGGGGAATAATGAAAAGATGAGGAGAGGAAAAGAGAGGACAGAAGTTTCAGAAAGGAGTGGAGAGGTTAGGGCAGTGGTTGGCAAACTCATTAGTCAACAGAGCCAAATATCAACAGTACAACGACTGAAATTTCTTTTGAGAGCCAAATTTTTTAAACTTAAACTATATAGGTAGGTACATTGTTATTAACTTAATTAGGGTACTCCTAAGGCTTAGGAAGAGCCACACTCAAGGGGCCAAAGACCCGCATGTGGCTC